AGACTCTTGAAAGAGAAATGATAAATGGGTGCTCTGAGTGATGATGTTGATGGCATTTCTGCCTTTTCAGAAGATACGATTAATTCATGCAATTGTACATATGCTGATTGGTGAAGAAAAGTTGCTTGCAACCATTTGTTTATCATGAGATAAAGCTACATAACAACAGGAACTTCCAAAATAAATAGCTCAGACAAGAGTCTTTAGAAATTTCTAAAAGGGGAATGTACACTAATCACTTTTAAAAAATTTGTAAGTTGTCTTAAGAAGGTGAGCAGTGCATTTTGTGAGTAACTATCCGATAAACTCTTAGTTAATTTTGCTGTTAAAATTTTTTGTCCTACTTTTTTTATTTCGATTGCCCCAAATTGTTGTCCACTTTCCTTAAACCGAACATTCAACTGCTTCAATGCCCACTTTATATCTTTCATCTTTATCCTCTATTATGTTCATTTACTATTGAAAAGTCAAACTATGACTACCCATTTTTCTCAACAAATGCTAAATTTGTGACAAGTCAAAAGTGAGCGAGAAAATTGGGACAGAGGGAGTCCTCGAAAGTTTTATGTCCCAATCCCAAATTTATCTTTAAAAGTTCCCACTCTATTTTCAAGTCAAAAATTCTCATATCTTCCCGGTTGTAGGAGACACTCTGGAATTATAAACTTGCTAACGTATTTATATTTTTTGTCCTGACTTTCTTGTTCTAACATGGTTTGCATATTTCTTCAGGGGATACCTCCTGTGAGTAAACTACTGAAAGATTCTAATGGATGGGTGATAGCATTAAGCAAGAAACTTGAAATGTGGTGGCCATGGGTAGGTGATTCTAGCTTTTGACTGGTATGTGTTTGATGCAAGAAATGAAGATTTCATTCATTCCTTTTGGCATTTCATTGCAGGTTGCTGAAGGGACTTTTCCATTGACTGCAAAAAAGGGGTACCATATTTCTCTCCGTCTTCCTTCCCTTCCCAAGAAATGTAACTGCTCTAAAGATTAGGTTTACTTTGATGAGAGATGTCTCTCATTCAGCTTCTGTTTCTATTTTTCAGAGAGGAGATGTCCACATACAAGGCGCTCGACCCGGCAGTTCGCCTGCTTATTCTTAAAGCACTTTGTGAATTTCGAGCTGATGTATTGCATCTGTGTTTCCCTCTCCTTGAATTCTGTGGTTTTTTTGTAGTGCTCACTCTTCTGCATCAACATGCAGCAATAGCAATCAAAAGTTGGATGAAACCGTATATGCTGTTGATTTCTCTTTAACATTGAATGTTGCTTTTAATGATGTTCGCATTTATCGTTTGTCTTTGCAGCAAGATGACGCCATATCTTACATTAACCATGAAACTAAAAGTAGAACTGATGCTTCCGCTTTCCGTAAGGAGAAGCTTGGGGGCAATGGAGATGAAGTTTCATTCTGGTAAGTTCTGAATGTGTAACATTACGCTATGCGAGTATGCCTTTGACAGCTCGACATTTCATGACAGGTATGATGGGAATGAAACTATTGGTCATAGATTATACAAGGAAGTTTGTCAAATTGAATCCATGTCAAAGGTAAAGGACAAGAAAAGCATATCAGCTATCACTTCTCAGTGGGAGACACTTGCTACTACGTTCGAAGAATTTCAAAATTTTGTGGTAAGGCAACAATTCTCTTTCCTTCTAAACGATTCAACTTTTCAGTAGTCGTCACATTCCTATTGCTATCAATGATAGGAAGAGTTTTCATCAAGTCAAGTTAAATGGGAAGCTGATGTGGGCAAGGCTGTTGAAGCTCATGCCATTCCTGCTCTTCAGAAAATTCAGAGGGTTAGTTTCTTTCAGACTGTTTATACGAGTTGTCTTTTTTCTTTTGGTTCTATAAGCTGAGGATTCCAAGGAAATTTATGCAGAAATATTTCTGCTATCATCATGAGCTCTTGATGCATATAGGTGTTTTCCTTTTACAGAAGAAAGATATGGCTCTGAAGCGACAGCAAAGAGAGCAAAGACTCGTAGAAGGCTTAAGAAACCTTGCAGTTCCTCGTTCTTGCAGGATGCGTAGGCCAGTCAATTACAGATGCGGTATATATGAATTTGTTTTGTTAATCAATCTTTTCTGATTGTATCATTGATTCCCTCATTGATTCCATACCTTAAGACAAATAAAGTTTATCTTGGGCCTGAAATTTCTGTGACATATTTGAAATTTTAGGGAATTTTATTTCTGGAAATTTTAGTTACACTTTTACAGAAAACGTGAACAGCTTTATCATTGGAGGTTCTTATATTAGTTCATCCTATTTCCGTAAGTTTAAAGCATGGTTTTAGCACATGGGATTGCCTATTTATGAGATGTAAGCCTCAAATCATGTTAGAAGATATCAATGAGACTTTTGTATGAGCATGGCACATAGGTAAAGCATGGAGACCTTGGGAAATATTTGCAGCATAATTAGATAGTATATAAGTCCAAATAATTTTCTGTTAGTGTTCCAAACTGTGGGTGCTTATGCAAGTGCAAATTCATATGCAGATGATTTTGATAGAGCAATCAATGAGGCCATACAAGTAACAAAGTAAGTCTTACTAGTATCTCATTGCTTCTTCATATGTTGGGTGATATCATAGGCATTGTCACAGTTTTTCCATGTCACTCAATCAACTACACTCATCCAACACAAAGGCTCTGTTTTTCTCTCTAGTTTGAAAATATCTATCATAGTTGGTATTTGGTAAGTTCTTGAAAGCTGTTAAAATGAGGTCCTGCTGAATGATTGGGCCATGGAGGTAACCAGGTGATTAGGTTGGAAACTTCCAAAAATTACTAGGATTAATTGCTGAATCTGCAAGCCTGTCCCGCTTGAAATGTGAATCTAATCACACTGCCTTACACCATGTGATGCCTTGTCATTTGTGGAACATATTCTGACACTAATTATGATCAGATCATTTGCATTGCCCCAAAATTTGATGAACTCCTACTGAAGCCACCTCAGGATCAATGCCTAGTTTCATGCTCCCTTTTGCCGCTACTATGCAAACCTACTTTACTAATGTACCCCCCTTAACTGCTTGTATCTCAATTGGTGGTATCCACCCACATATGAACTCTTGTCAACAAGAATGAGCTTTGCTTGTATGGTGCTTTTGCATGATCTGAGTATAAACTATCTTCTAAAGCATATTTTGAACACTATGAAACCACCTGCAGTTGCAGTAATGGTTCAGAGTTACCATTTTGTTTTGTTTTTTCTTTTAATTGTTTTTCATGTCAAAGCCTGTTTTGAGTTTTGACTTGAATCATTTCATCTACATCCCAAGGCTAGTTTTTCTTCCATTCATGACACAACTATTTTTATCCATTTTGGATCATAACCTTGGCTTACTGGCAAATAATTTGTGGTTTAGCAAACGGAAGGCAATTGAAGAACCAGCAAATGAAACTCAACTCAATGAGCATGTGCCTAGGAATGGAACCAATTCCCTGGATTCCTCTCCAGCATCCAACTCCATAAGCAGTGATGCCACAGACAGTGAAACTGAGAGTGATGAGCCTCAAGGAAGCAATGATGATGTTGATGATACCAGTGATGAAGTTGATGAAGCTGATCTTGATGAAGATGATACTGACTCAATGAAGGAATTTAACATAGCTGGCAATAGAAAGCAGTCAATGAAGGAGAATAGTCGCTTGGACTATAGGCCAAGCAGTTGTCGCTACAGTAAGCGGCTAGCTGGAGTTGATGGCTTTGCTGTTCCAGAAACAACTCATATGGGTGCGAAAAATAGGTTGAGGCAAAGACCCACTGTTAATACTGCTGCCGAGTCTGTTGTCGTTCCTGATTCAGAAGATGAAAACTGATCAGGATGCACTTGCAGCAGGAGGACATGCCATTAGAACCGATCTCTATTTTGGTACAGTTCGTTGATTATTCTTCCGAGCCAAATGAATACGGCTTTTGGAAAAGCAAATCGGTTGTTACCACCTTAGTCATAATTTTGCATATATAGTAATAGTGTCTGTGAACTTGGGCAAGGCAGAAAGTGTAGTTGTTTTGGTTCAAACAGTAACGTAGTTAATGCTTCATTACTTTTCTGTAAAAGCAAATCAGTTGTCGCCACCTTAGTCATAATTTTGGGTATACGGTTATCTAGCAACATGGCTTCAGAAAATTGTCTCCGAACTCATGGAAGGCTGTTAGTGTAGTTAATGCTTTCATTAGTTTTTGTAAAGCCATGTGCTTTTTTGCATTGTTGGTTGCTGGTTATCTGCGGAAAGAGTGTTTCCTGAGCTTAGGCTTGTTGCTGAATTTGCCTTGCACACACTGTTAAGGAGGCAAAAAATAAAAGGAAAATGATTCCATTCCACCAGTAAACAATTATCCCATTCAAGTAGTTCTTTGAAAACTCGTCAAAACGTAGGGAGTTATTCGGAATATGTACCTTGAAATGAAACAACACTGATTTTGCAAATTTAGATAATTAATTATGCTCACTATTGTTTATTCTCTTTTTTTCCCGTCAATAGGACTACTTTGATTTGGAAAAGAGACGTTGAAAGACTATTTTGATTCAAAGCTTGAAATTTAAAGGGAATCTTATCGGCCTTTCTCTTCAATATATATATATTTTTAACAAATTCAACTTTTATATAGTAAATCAATTATTTTTAATTAGCCCCAGGGCTATCAATAAGAAAAATATCTCCTCCAATTCCATGCAAGGAACTAGATGATTACCCAAAGAAATGAGCAGATCAATGCATAGTAATGACTTCTCTGAATAGCTTATAAATTTATCGCTTAATCTACTTAAGAACGCAATAAAATAGCATCTCACTTCATATAAGTGAAGTTCCAAACATTTTTTTTTTTCAAATACTAAAAGAATTTTTATCTTCCAAAAATGCTAAAAAGGCTAGGCCCAGTACTAGGTTGGGCTAGATTTGGGTTTTAGTGATTAAGGCCCAATTAGATCCCAACAGACCCTAGCCCATCCAGTATAAGATGGGAAATAGAAGCAAAGAATTAGGTGTTAGGGTTCATCAGACGCCAGCAACAATACAATGAGACCCCTGGACGAGGAAGAAACGACACACGTCTTCGAAAAGCTACACAAATTCGTGGGAAACAATCTGAAGAACATAGTCGAGAACCCATCTCACGAAGGACCCGACAACACTCCCGGTCGCTACTGCTTCCGTCTTCAGAGAAACAGAGTCTACTACGTATCAGAATCGCTGGTCAAACGAGCCACGAATATAAAGCGAGACAACTTAATTGCACTTGGAACCCAAATAGGCAAATTCACAAAAGGAGGTAAATTTCACCTGACTGTACAGTGCTTGGGTTTATTGGCAGGTCACGCGAAGCACAAAGTTTGGTTAAAACCCACATCTGAGATGAGTTTTTTGTATGGTAATAATGTATTGAAAGGTGGGGTAGGGAGGATTACTGAGAGTATTAGCGAGCATGATGGGGTGGTGGTGTTTTCAATGTCTGATGTGCCGTTGGGATTTGGAGTTGCGGCGAAGAGTACTCAAGATTGTAGGAAGATGGACCCAAATGGAATTGTAGTGCTTCATCAGGCTGATGTTGGAGAGTATTTGAGAATGGAAGATGAGCTCTAAATTAGATTTTTATTTTTTTTAATTTAAGGTTTTTGGACGGTTTATGCTTGTGTAATCCAATTTGGGTGTCGTTGTAGTAAGAGTTTTTGGTTTTGTGTTTTCACAGAACTTCTATATTGAATGAGATAATTGTTTACTGGTTAAATCATTTTTGTTCTGCTTAATTTGTCTTGCCTTAAATTCTGGTATAATAAATAAATAAACGGAGGCAGTCATGGTATGCTTCTGCCAATGTAGGAGCTTGAATTTGAGACACCAATCTACCATGTGATATTGCACATCTAAAGTTATAAGAAACTTAAAGTAAAAATACTCCCACGACTATATTTTCATGAGCCCAATAAATTGGAAAATAGCTTTAAAAATTTAACAAAGAGAGAAAATCAGGTGATATAATAGCATAAAATCTAGAGATTCCAATTCTCTCCTTCCTCTTTCTTCTTCTCTTTTCACCTTTTCTTGAGCCAAGTTTCTATCGAAAACAGCTGGTTACGTTGTTGTTGTTGTTGTTGTTGCTAGAGATTCCAATGTCTAGTCTCTTCCTGTGTAGAAAGGATATGTATGTCTACACATAGCATTGCTCTGTTAGTCTGTAGATCAAGATTCATGTTTATGAGCAATCAGTGGAAGAGTGGAGATTAAGCACCGAGTGCTCCGCATACTTGGTAAACTTTTTTTTTTTGGGTAGCTGAAGCTAAACTGTCTTCTCATTTGAAATTTCTGATAGCCTGTTATGAAATAGAGAGGTGTAAAGGTGGATGTATTGGCTGGAGAGGAATGAAATGGCTAACTGCTTTATGGAAAAGATGGAATGGAACTTTCATTTTAGAAGGAGTTTATGTGATTGGGAAATGGTAGAAGTTGCAGAATTTTTCCAGAAAATGCAGTATGTTGTGTTTAGTTAACAGGGAAGATATTATGGGTGTCTGTATATGAAGTTTTCCGGAGCAAACCGTGCTGAAAATTGTTTCTAAGTAACTGTTATTGCATAAATGACCACTAAATAAGGAGCAGAGCTAAATTATCAAATATTTGTTGTATGAAGATTAATCCTCAACATTGCAGCTTCTGATGAAAAAGATTTACTTGTGATAAAATGCATTGTTAGTCCAAGCCGAGTCATGGTCAACCTATAAAAGGAATTTTTGTTGGCTCAAGGTTTTTGGTCTAGTTGTAAAAGCGCAACATGTGATGTTTGTTAGGGGGGAGTAAACCAGCGGGCTCAATATATATCGAATTTAGAAGTGTGCGCCTATTTTAAAAGATAAAAAAAAGTAAAGGGCTTTTTGTTACTGGCATCAGTTGCCATTGTGTCACAGTTGTAGTGCATTGTGTCACCGTTGCTACTGATACAGTAGTACAGTACAGCTTCATAGCTATAATTTGGACCATGTGACATATGAAGAGTAATTGTAGTTTGATTCGGAAAACTGATACTTTCTTGTGTAACTGTCACTATATTTGAGTGAAGTCCAGTGACAGATAAGGTCAGGATGGCCGAGTGGTCTAAGGCGCCAGACTCAAGTTCTGGTCCTCGTGAGAGGGCGTGGGTTCAAATCCCACTTCTGACATCATTTTGTTGTTAATTTTAACCTTTCTTGTTAGTATTTACTAGTATCTGTACCTGCACGTTATTCATACATTCAAGTCATGAAGGAAAATCTTGTTGTAAATAGCTAGTGAAGACAACATTCGCAAGAAATGCAACCTTAGATGATAGATCATTTTTTTATTGTAAGACATTAATCTGATCAACCAAGTAACTCATTAATTAGTTAACTCCCACAATATAAAGCCTTTGCAGGAGGAGTAAATCGTAATTACGATGGATGTTCCCAACAACTAAGTTATCAATTAGGAGTACAACTTTGTATAGTAACCAAAATTCTGCCTGAGAAATGAGAAGTAATAGTATTAAGGTGTGAGAAATTCCAAAGCTTCATAAGGAACAAAATCACTTTTGTTGAAAAATATAATTATCTTAAATGCAACCTCAAACTGGTGACATGGTACAGTTTCACAATCCGGGTATCTGCATGAAGAGAAGGTCAAATGAATTGCCCGATTTCTCGAACTCAAGCAGGTCAAAATGGATGTGAAAGCAATCTCAGGTTCTTGTCCGAATATGCCTTCTGTTAATGCTCTTTTGTGGGATTACCTTCTGATGAAATATGGGCAGATCCTTGCTTCATGTTTGTAGGACTCTACTGGTGAAATACTTATGGTCTCGGAGTATAGTACAATAGCAATGCACTTCATCACAATTTCAAGGAAATAATGGCTTAGTATTACCAAACATCAGATTTGAAGAGTTTGGTAAGGCCAATCTTTCACATTTTGGAACACCAGAAAAGACTTTGCACAAGCAACATCCTGCAGTAGCAGCCCCCAACTCATATCAAAATTACAATCATTTGCATAATGCCCCTCTGCCAAATGTAAAAGATCACATAAGTAATTACACAGATATCTTGTCATCATATTCTTTTCTGGATAGGACCTCATGAGCAATATAAGCTGAGTCGCAACAGTTGATTTAGGCCTCGAATGCAACAGGGACGACTGCAATTGCAGGACGAAAACTATGAGACTTTCTTAGGGGGATAATAAGTCTATATATATATAAATACCCAGAACATCATTAAATTTTGAGTACTCAAAATCACATTTCTTCAAGCGTGGAGCTGGACTTCCATCAAGAAGGGTATTCTCCAGCTTCAAATCTTTATGGAAGTTTGAAGAAGATTAAGCTCCTTTAAACTAAAAAGATGGCACTTGGAATAAAATTTATACACATAAATCCAGGCTTAAGATGTATCTAAATTTCTATTCATATGTTCACACATAAAGAAAGTTTTTTTTTGTTGGTAAATTCTTCTAAGTTTCACCATTCTGTGACAGTAGTGGACTCCTTAAATAAGCTGCTGGAAAAAGTACATGGCCTAAAATGACAGCAGCAAGAAACCCGAAGAGAGAAGCATTAAAAATAGTGAGCCAAGGCTCTTAAAATCACAGCAATTTGACCTTTTAAAATCACAGACATCATTACATTTCTTTATTCTTAAGAATCCTTCTATATGGTAGTCTATGTGAGAGAGTGATTATTGACAAAGTTAAAATTTTAAAATATACATCATCTTCGCTAAACCTTCATGCATTATGAGTGCACTCAAACAATTCTCTACCAGCTGTATATTTCATAACAATGGCAAGTTAAGTGGGTGTCACTAACACCTGTATCTCACAAAACAAATGCACAACAATTAGGCCAACTATTCCTTAGCTTTTCTTGCCATTTTCAAAACAAACCAATATTATCAAAACATCATTGCAGAATAATAAAACATAAGCACGCAAACTTGCCTCCTTGAAGCGAATTATGTTTGGATGTCGAAGTGATTTATGATTAATGATATCCCTTGCTACATTCTCATCAATCTACAATAAAAGGTGACATCTCAAGTTCATAGAACATTACATGATATTGCTAATTGCATACAGGATCAGTAGTTTCCTCAACTATTGCCCTCTGCGTAAATGTCAGCCTCAAATTGTGTGTCATAGTCTTTAATTTTAAATTATTTGGTCCGACAACAAAATAGTGTTGGACTTTAAGCCATTGGGCTTTAAAGTAGAAGAAGTGTGAATTGGAAATGGAGGGAAATAAAATGGAGGGAAATTGAAAATTTGAAGAAGTGAACTTTTGTCTTGCACTTTGTCCCTCATTGGTGAGGGACAACCACATTTGTGTGCTTATATATAGAATCACTTCTTAAAGCTCTTAAAAGGAGTTGAAGAGAATGAACCCTCGCGATTTGGATTTGGATTTGGATTTGTCAAATGATCGATCGATAAGATTATTTTTGGACAAAATTTATTTAATTATTTAATAATTAATTAAATGCCAAATCACTGCTGAAAATACGCCAGAACCCTGCTGAAGGTTCAGAGGGCCTCTCTGGCCGCGGTTCTGCCGCGACAGCGGTAGAACCGCGGCAGGCAGGTTCAGAAAGCCTCTCTGACCGCGGTTCTGCCGCGACCGCGGTAGAACCGCGGCAGGCAGCGTATTCTTCTGAAAAGGCACCTTTTCCAGACACCTCTTCTGATAATTGCCTATAAATTCTGAGGTAAGGCTCCATTTTCTACACACGAAAAACACTCCAGAACTTCTTTCTTTTGAATATACTGCATCCTAATTCGCAGTCTCTCTCTCTCAAATTCGTAAGTGTGATTTTGCTCCGTTCTTTAAGTTCGTTGGTATCCTGTAGTTTGTATTGCCACTGTTGCAGGAAGGTTTATTCCGTTTTATCCTGGGAGGATTTAATCCATTACCTTGGCAACGTGTGAGGGGGTTAAAATTCCTTAAGGACACACAAGAAAATTGTGGACTCGGAATATTTCTTAAACTCTTCTGTTTTTCCAGTTTCTTTTATTTTTCTAACAGTTTTTCCTGATTTTTGGTTTAACACGGTAACGNACTTCAAGTAGGTAGTTTCATATTTTTGAGGATTGCTGGAAACTAATAAACAAATGGAAAAATAACGTTTGAAACAGAAGGAGCAATAAGGGTACTATGCAAATAGTTTCACGTAGAAATTTTCATCATTTTGAAAATTTTGGAAATTTTATGAATCATAACAGTAGAGAAAAGGAAGAAAAAAGTGAAAGCAATTAAAAATATGTTACCTTTGCATCTTGTAATACCAACTCTATCGAATAAGGTATTTGAGGCTTGTAGCGATCCAGGATTTCCCACATTCGAACTACTGTAACTTTTAAATTCTATTGCATGGAGTTGCTTGAAATTTGTCTGATGTCATGAAGTTTTGTAGCCATATTTGCAAAGTTCTTATTCTGACCAAAGCAAAAAGAGAATAGAAAAGGAATTAAAAAGAGCCGCATAAAACTGTTGATGTAGTTATGGAGAAAGTGGATAAGTTATGGATTAGGTTAGGATACCCACGTTTGGGAAGATGATCGTTGTTTTAAAAAAAATTGTTTCTTCCGGTTTATTTTTGAAATCTGTCTATATTGCAAAACGGCAAATTTCAAATGCGGGAGTCAACTCCAGACATGGATTAAAGTAATTTTTCTTTTTTGAATTTTCAGGCTTAACAAATTAAAAAAAAGATACCAACAAACTTGGGAGTCAAAGTAGATGTACACTAAATTGGAAGTTTTAAAGTTTGTTTTTATTTCTATTTTGACACTTGGCACAATAATATGATTTTGCTTCTCCTATTCTATATAGATAGATATAGATAGATTTTCCAACATGAGAAATTTCATTAGTATATAAAACACATTTTATTAATTAGTTAGAAAAGTAGTTTATTTTGTCTTAACAATGTCAGTTGGCTTTTTGTGGTTAAAACACTTGTCTTAATGTAGTTTGAGTTCTATTTATTAACTAAATTTTCTTACACGAGAAAGTAAATTAGTATATGTATTTTTACGATATCAATTGATTCCTTTTATTATTCTTCATTTATGACTATTTGTTTATTTTGATTTTAGTTATGTGTATATATACAACTTTTCTCATAATAATTCTAATTTATTTTTATAATTCTTATACTACATATATATATATATATAAATAATATTGTTAAATTGATGTATGAATTATTAATAAATTTCCAATTTAGTATAACATCTTTTTGTATTTTTTTTTACTGATAATTATAAGATATCTATATTTATTAATTCAAGTAGTGTAACCAATTAATTCAAAATTTAAAATTCAAAAAAAAAATTTGTTAGAAAAGTAGTTTATTTTGTCTTAACAATGCCACTTGGCTTTTTGTGGTTAAGACACTTATCTTAATGTAGTGCTTTTGCTTCTCCTATTTTATATAGATAGATTTCATACGTTTAATTTTAACCTTTCTTGTTAGTACTTATTCCATACGTTTCCTTTTGTCTGTTGTTGTTATATTTTATTAGAGGTTGATGATTCAGCCTAAGCTACAACCTTCTCTTGTTGATAACAAAATTACGGCTGTGCATGGATCGACTTGGATCAGATTTAGCTCATTTCAGATTCGGATTTTGGATTTTGGATTTCGGACTCTAAAAAATGCAATCCGAATCCTATCAGAATTAATATCGGGTCGGATCGGATTTTAAAGTGTGGATCGGATCGGATTTTCGGATTTCGGATAAGATTATTATGTCTCAAAGTTGCAAACTCATATGTATATTTTCTTTGTAAAGAGACAATACAATAAGAAAAATTCATGTTTCTGCAATTACGAGAATACTATGGTGCCAATATAGCTAAATCCATCAATTGTAAAGGTAATAACTTGGAGAAAAATGCAAAGGAAGTATTAACTATCCGAAATTAAAGTTTAGTATTTATATATGCCCTAACAATTTCGAATTTCGGATCGGATCGGATTAAAATTATACCAATCCGAATCCGAAATTTTAATAAACACAATCCGAATCCGATTTAATCTGAAATCCGAAATTCGAAATTGGACGGATCGGTTCGAATTTCGAATATCCGATCCAAATGAACAACCCTAAACAAAACTCCATTTTGTCAAAAGAAATACTCGTTCGTGTTAGAAGTTTATTTCAAACATATATACTTATAGAACTCAACTAGCATAGTAGCAAAGTCCTTTTGTCCTCAAAATCCATTCGGTTCTGGGTTAATTGAATCCGTTATTGGTAGATGGTTCTAAATATCCATTCGGTTCTGGGTTAATTGAATCCAGCAAATCTGTAAGTTGCAACATATCTTTTTGGTTTCTCATCCGGTGTTCGGTTCCTGCATTGGAGTTTCAACTAATTCGTTTTCGTGCTGCCTTGGACTTATTAAAGGGGAAAACGCTCTCTATCGGAATTTTTTTCCATTCCCAGAGCTCGAACCCAGAGCTTGAACTTGAGACTCTGATTAAAGTGAAGCGATCTTATCCATCCAATGCTCTAAGTGATACAACTTCACATGATCTTTTACTTATTGACCGATCAAGTTCCTTCTTTCTATAAAGAACTTCTTCCATTAAGGAACTGAAGACCATACAATTTGTAGTTAATTTGGTGCCAAATTCTGCATTTGTAGAAAATCCAGTGGCCATATTTCATTTTACTCAAATTTCAAAGCATTTTGGAGATTGCATTTTTGGTCCCCGAGACACTAATAGTATACAACTAAAACATTTATCTTGTGATTAATTGAATCAAATGTTTCTGGCCCTTATACATAGGACAATACCAAGTATGATGTATAACTAATACAAGTATATTAGTTATACACAAGTTGAAAAAATGTTCAAAACAAGGTATTAGTAGTGCATAGAGCTAATGCTTGCATTATTTTTTCTAATACCTCCTACCAAACGACCCCATACTGCAAATGCGGAGCTAGAGTGCTGAGAGCGGGTTCGGCTGAACCCAGTAGCTTTAGTTCGAACCTTGTATTTGTCTTAAAAAGTCATGGAATATGCATAAATTACTAATTTAGAACCAATAACTTAAAACGATTAAAATCTCGAGCCCATAAGCTTGAAATCATGGCTCCGCCTTTGCCATATTGTACTAAGGAGGAGGAGAATGAATAATACGGTGTACAAGAGAGTAATAATGGATAAGGCTAGACAAATTGGAAAAATTATAAGATAAGGGGTAATATCAAATATCAATTTCTTGCCTATTTGGTGCAAAACGTGTAATAAGACAGAAAGATGAAGGTTAAAATAGGAAAACTAATGAAAATGCATCTGAATAAGAAAAGAACTCGTCCCTCGACGATCCTTCAATTCTTTTATCCCACGAACGAATAATAATGGCGACGAACGGCAGAGAAACCCGACGGCGCCGTATTGTGGAACGAGGGAATGACCGATTAGCCCTTATCACCGGCAGGATCCCAACTCTATCATCGGAAACGGAATCGGGATCGGGACCGGGATCGGAATCTCGGCATTCTCACACCGCCTCTTGCCCTCCATGGATTTCTCGCGATCACCTCCCTTCCAATCAATCGTCTCCCGGTACGCACGCTTATATTCACATCAATTGTTTTGCGAATTGTTTGCTTGGTTTCATTTTTTAGTTGATTTTGTAAATATTCGATTGTAAAGAGATAATTCAATTTAAATTACTTTTTTGTCTGTTTTGCTATCAAAAGTTTCTTACTAAGAAAAACATCTACATCTTCTTTACATTGCCTGCACAATATCTGTTTTTTGGCCAAGTTTCTTGGCATGTTAGGCGGATTTAGGGACAACGGAACACATATCAAAGCTTCTTCCTCTTTCTTGATGAGCTTTTACTATCCAAGTTAATACCAGAAGTACCATAATAATAGAAAGTGACAACATAGATGACCATAGTATTCGTGCTGAAATTCTAAATGACCTGCATTGGTGCTGTACAATGTTGGAAAATGCTTGTTTTGCTGTGGAGCACTGAGTTAGGCTCAATAAATCAGGGAATATTTCTATCAAGTCTTGAATAGATCCAGTGTAACCGAATAACACCACAGATGAGGCATAAAATGGGAACGAATTATTTGTAGTTAATTGGTGTATTGTGTCCAAAAAAAATAGTAATTAGGATTTTGTGAGTTTTTCAATTAGAACGCCTAATCCACCGGGGGTACCTACTACTTCCTCCCAGCACGAGTAGCGAGTAATTCTGCCGAGCTTAGGCATTTGCCTCCACTGATAGAATTTTTTGAGTTTATGGAAGCTTCTAGAAGATTACAATTGAAGGAAGAACTAGAAATCGATGCTCAGTAAAACTAGCAATGTTGGTGTGTGTGTGTGTGTGTATATATACATATATATATGTGGCACCTGGAAAATGGTCCGATAGATTCTTAGGTCAAGGTGGGTCTCAAGTTCGTATCATTGAAGTATAGTAACATGATAAACTTTTTTTTTTCTTTTTTGAGAAATGAAATCATTTTATTGCATATCCGGTGAAACGGTGTTAACATTACTTAGTTTATATCCAATTTATGTTGATAGTATGTAAATATTGAAACTATACTCCGGCCACGGATTGGATTGAAATGGGTCGGTGTCATTAAGAGACATCGCTTAAAGCGATGAAACTATTTTAAGCGAGGAGTTATCAATTTATGAGTGAATCGATGCGCTTTCAAAAAAATGACACGCAAAAAATTGTTGGTTCTTTAAATCTCAATTTTGAAGAGTTGGATTCATATCTGCATTTTTGTATGCAGGATAATGAAATTAGTTATTTTAGTTACAATTTGATTATTGTAGGACTAAATTCATTTGTGTTCGATATTTTCTATTTTCTGTAATTGGAGCATTTCATCTCAAAGAAGCTTACTTCTTGCATTTTTCTTCCTCCCATGGACGTCGCCACTATTTTGTAGTTTTCTCTGGACAATTCATAGCATTTCATCTCAAAGAAGCGCGCACCTTTACTTCTTGCTCTTTTTGCTTCCTCCCATGGACCTCGCCCTCTTTTTGTGCTTTTCTCTTTTGAAAAGCTGGTTTTTGTTGTATGCTCTTATCTATTGACATAAGAAGAATCCCAGTAATTACTCCAATATTCTACGAGATAGTGCTAAGACGAGGGCTTTACAAGAGGAAGGTAATATTTATAAACAAGAAATAGAATGTATGCTGTGGTTTACAGGTGCAGAATATTGCATGAATCATGTTATTATTGTTATATGCTTCATCCTTCCCAGATCACCTGATTTGCCAAGGCTCAATTTTTAAAATTTTGGTGCTTATTTACTTTTCTTTTTTTAGAAGTTTGGATAATGGATACCGAATACTCCCTCCATCCCAATTTATATTTCATACTTTCCTTTTTAGTCTATTCTAAAAAGAATGTCATACTTTCCTTATTTAGAAACAATTTAACTTTAAAATGCCTATTGTACCCTTAAGGAGATGATTGAAAGTCACACAAACAATTATGACTTGTTTTGGACCACAAGTTTTAAAAGTTTTCCTTTCTTAATTTTCGTGTCTAGTCAAACACCGCCACATAAATGGGATGTAGGGGGTAAGTAACAATATATAGATTCTTTCACAGCAAAAATACTAAAGATATGTGTAAAAAACTATGGTCTGAGATAAATAGGTTTTATAATTGAGAAGCTAAAGAAGACATTCAATTAGTTCTCGTGTTGCATCCCTATTTTTGTATTTTTACTGTATCAGCTTGATACTGTTTTTGATAAAATCTTCACCTTATAAAAAAAAAAAGCGAGCACTGATGGTGAGGTTTCCTGTTATAGTACCTTTAATGCTGGATATTTGAAGAACTATTGGAAATGCATCTATGGAAAATATCCTTGATTCACAACTAGACTTAGAAACAAGTATAAATATTTGGAGGTAATGAAAGTCAGTACCCAGACTTCTAAATTAGACAAATTATGGCATGGATAAAATTATGACAATTGGACCAGTCTCTTCTGTGATTTCTTGCCAATAACTTTTCGGTTTAAAATTCTGATTTTGTCCAATTGGAAGGAATGAGTATGTGAGCTTGGTGAGAGTTATGTTGTGATGCTGTGGGCTAGTGCTTGTGTTATTAGTATTTACTTTCTTTTTCGATAAAGGATAGTGCTCATTATACTTGTCACTCATTTATTGCTACTTCACAGTTTCTGTTAGTGGGAGTGAGGCTTCTGGACCATTTTTGCCCGATAATGACCGTGGAATTGAGCCTGGTGAGCATAATGAATCTGATGGCAAAAGCAGAACAACTCCATTCATGCGAAAATGTGAGTCGAACATTGAAACCTCAAGTGCACCTGCCTTGGATCTTGATGGCAAAGAGCAGTTATTTCCGGATTCATCTCCTGTGAATCCTCCATGCCTTTCTGCTTCTGAGGGTGGTCAATTTTTTAAACTGAAGAGCAACTATCACAATATTTTCGCCCCAAATAAAATTAGTTCTGCAATTGCAGCTTCTGAGAGTATTCGCCTCAACTTTTCTCTTGTGGCTGCCATTTTGGTTCTTGTGTCCTATAACAGCCACTTCTTCAACGTGGTCATATTCTTTAGACCTCTTCTGCTGCTGTTGTTGACCAACATATCGATTGTTATTGCACGCCTTCTCGTAGAAGAAGAAGCAGGGTCCCAAAGGAATCAAAAAGCGGCAAACAGTATCCCTACTGCTGGTATGGTTGATCAAATTGGGAAGGCTCTGGAGCTGGGATTGTTATTGCAAAACGTTATGAATGCACTGTTCATGGATTGTAGTATCTACTCAATAACAGTCGTATGTGGCCTTTCAATAATCCAAAAGCTTGGCTGGTAAAGTTTTTTTCCTGGCTGGAGGATCTAAGAGGTGTATCATCTTAACAAGTTTGTTTTGTCTGTTTTTACGTTTTGTTGCTAACTTATTTTGAGAAACATTTTGCTGCTTGTCATTCCTAATATTCGGCCTCCTACAGCCCTACCCCAAAAAAGACGGTGATAGAAGTTGTCTTCATATCCAATTTTGTAGCTTCACCAGACAGAAAAAATCGACTTATGTGGATGTTTCCGAGTTTAAAGTATTTTTGTGAGATTGTGCCACATTATAGCAAAAGACTTCCTGCATCCTTTTCTTATGGGTTCATAGGAGTTTTGTCAAAATGCAATCATCAAAATAGCAGGGGATTTGTCACAAATGCGGAGAATGTTTGTCCTTAACATTGAATTTTCAGACAACTTATCATTCACACGTAATTGAAGCCATTTACACCTTGACATTAATACTGAATAATTTTGGGATGTTTGCTACAAACACACCCGAAAAAAGGACACATCCCAAAAGGTGAATGCTTTCCTAGGCATGTGTCGTGTATACATTTATCACTTGAAAAATGCACATGTAGAAGTACAGATCCAAATAGCTGAATAATTTCTCAAGGAAGTGGAATGTCCTAACGGAAAAAAAGAAGTTACGAATCATACTAAACCTTAAGCAAGAATAAGAAGATATGGCTCATAGCCTCATATTGACAGCTTTCTTTCATAGACAAAATTGCATTTTAATACTGTGTTCCAAGTCAACGACATAAGTTGTCAGCTAATGTATCAACTACACCGTTTGCGTTGTTTTGATGTAAAGGCCTAGAGGTCTTGTCACCTACTGAACTTCATCTGAGAATGGATTTGAATCATCAACATGAAAAAAATCTTGGCCACATTATTGAATTCTCTATGTTGCCAGGGTTACACTTTGGAAAGTTTTGTAGTATGATAATAGACAAAATATGTAGGAGCTTTAACTTGTCTTTGTTTACCCCTTAGTTTTCATTTGGGAAAGCTTCCAGTTAAAAGGTGAAATTCCAGCCATTATTTCAAGATGATTTTTTTTTTAGTATGTTGCTCTTATTTTATTATTCTATATTTGGTTTTGCCTGACAATCTTTATCAACCATTTATGTAACACTGGCCTCCAAGTAAAGAAAAACTGGAAAGCAGCTGGGAAAATTATATAAGAAAATCAGATCATTCGGAAAGGCTCACATAAGGAAGAATGTAAAGCAATTCATTAAACAAATAATTGCATCATCTCGTCATCTAACTCAACTCATCTCTAAGTAACTTGATTCATAACGTAGGATATTGAAATTATAATTCTTCTCTGTCCCTCAAACGAATTATAAGTATCAATGAATATGATAAAGATTGGATATCCGAAGAAATCGGAAGAGCAACTCCTAGTAGAAATTTCTTTTAAGAGAATTTATTTTTTGCTACTTTCTATTGTACATGTTTGCACGTATATCTCTGAGTCAATCACACCACTTAACAAAAGTATTGAAATAGTTGTAGCATTTCTCGTTATTATATCAAGAATAGCACCTTTACTAGGCCTGCTATCAAGGTAGAGAAGTTTACACAAAGCCAGATGCAAGCAAAATTCATGTTACTCAAGCTAGCCAGGAATACAAAACATTCTAGGACCAAAAAAGAAGCCCTTCACTATCAGGAAGCAGCTCAGAAACCTACAACATTTTGTCGCCCGAATGCTTTCAAGCATTGGCAACCATCCCTTCATGGAAATCAGATTGTAGGTTCCCTTCTCCATCAGTTCCTTCAGAATCTGCTTTTAGCTCGGATTTGGGTGACCAACCATACATCTTTCTCCTGGCTTCCCTACGGGCTGCTCGTTCTTCCAACTTTACTTCCCTAAATTGCTCTTCAAGTTTTGCTTCATCTTCAGGTGTAAAGAATACTACCTCCATTTTTCCAAGCTCCTCATACAACTTCTCAATCTTAGCTTTCCAGAAGAGGCCTAATTCAGTGTCCATCTCGTGGTAAGGTGTCTTCAGTAGGTACTCATCAATACCACCTGCCTTGTCAATACATCGAAGGGCATGAGTTGTCACCTTCACACGAATATGTCGATCTAGGATATAGCTGAAAAGCCGTTTCTCTTGCACATTAGGCTTCCAATTCCTCCTCGACCTGTTCATAAGCAATCACAGTTGTATTTTTTAGAAAAGTAAACAATAGCAGTTTGTTATGATTCACCACATAAGATCGGAATCAAACTGCAGATAAAAATTGACTTATGTTTTCTATCTATGGGACCTAGAGAAGCTAGAAACAACAATGATCCAAAGGCAGCAGACACTACACATTTACCAGAGCATCTGCAAGCCAACTAAAATCTTTAGAACTATAGGTAATTATATTTGAATTTGATGATAACCAGGTTAAATTTCCCTAAAGAAATCGAACACTCGTTATCTCCCTTGCTAAACCAATTCTCCACAATATCCTTTTGTTCAGGAATTTTTTGTTTTTTTTGATAAAGCAGTCTAGGAAAAATATCATCAGAATATAAGAAGGAAAAACATTTGTACAGATAAAATACAGACACTGAATGCCAACAAAGCATTGCTATTAAGACAGAACCCAGAGCTAAATAAGCAACAATGACACTTCAATTCCAAGGGGTCAGCTATATGAATCTTCACTATCCATGCCGCTCCATTTAGACCTGTCTTAATCCAATATTCAATAATTTAGGTTGGAGGCTAGAGGTGTTCCTGTGGTTTACACTAGGTGATTAAGGACATGTATGATGGAGCTAAGACCCGGGCGAGGACAGTGTGAAGAGACTCGGAAGACTTTCCAATTGTGATGGGATCACATCACGAATCAGCCCTTAGCCCGTTTTTATTTTCCTTGACGATGGACGCGCTGACGCGTCACATTCCAGGAGAGATGGTGCATGTTATTTGCATATGACATTGTACTAATTGACGAGAAGCGAGGCGGTGTTAACACGAGGTGGGAGGTTTGGATACAGACCCTGGAATCTAAAGGTTTCAAGTTGAGCAGGACCAAGACAGAATACTTAGACTTAATTCATGAAGTGGATGTGGACGTGAGGCTTGATACACAAGCCATCCCGAAGAAAGAAAGTTTCAAGTACCTTAGTAATCCAAAGAAATGGAGAGATTGACGAGGATGTCACACGTCATATTGGAGCGAGATGAATGAAATGGAGGCTCGCATCCGATGTTCTATGTGATAAGAATGTGCCATCTAAACTTAAAGGTAGGCTCTATAGAGCGGTAGTTAGACGGGGCAGAGTACTCCCACGTCCAAAAGATGAAGGCAGCAGAAATGAGGATGTTGAGATAGATGTATGGTCATACTAGGACGGATAAGATTAGGAATGAAGATATTCGGGACAAGGTGGGTGTGGGTGTGGCCTCCTGTAGAGGACAAGATGCGGAAAGCGAGGCATAGATGGTTCTGAAGAGGGAAGACACAGATGCCCTAGTACGGAGGTGTGAAAGATTGGCCTTGGTGGGTCTGAGGAGAGGTAGAGGCAGGCCAAAGCAGTATTAGGAAGAGGTGATTAGGTAGGACATGACGGTGCTTCATCCTACCGAGGACATGACCCTTGATAGGGGGTGCGGAGGTCAAGAACTAGGGCAGAAGGTTAGTAAGTAGTCGTCCATTTTCCTTGTCCTTACTAGTAGTTTTAGTGTTTTCCTTGTACTTTCTTGTTCTTTAGATTTCTATTACTACCCGTTGTTTCTTTCAGTGTTGTCGAAGGCTCATATAAGGCGCGCTTAAACCTTGAAGTTCAGAAAAGCTCAGGGAGGGAGCTTCGCCTTGCTTAAGTTGCGGTTCACTGTAGGCAAGGCACTAAGGCGTGTACCTCATTACCCCTGAGTGATATCTTGAATCAAGCGGTACTAAACTATAAATATAATAGGAAAAGAATATATTAATCACTAAGGAAAACATCATAAATGAATCTGTTACTTCTTTCTTGCATTACATATATATTTTTTACTTTTTTTTAATTGATTGCGCCCTTTTTAACTAAAGCCTACACTTGAACTGCGCCTTGCGCATAAAGTCCCCATAGACCTAGAGCGCTCTTTAGAGCTTTTTGCCTTTGACGAGACGTTTTCTTGTTATCTTGCTGATGTTACTACATGTTGCTACTGCTTCGTTTTTCGCTTTTCCTTGAGCCGAGGGTCTACAACCTCTTTACATTCTCAAGGTAGGGGTAAGTCTGCGTACATACTACTCTCCCCATACCCCAATTATGGGATTTACACTGAATAAGTTGTTGCAGTTTTTGATAGTTGGTATTCATTCTAAGGCTATCGAAGACAAACAACTTTTTTTTTAAAAAAAAATTAGGAACAAAGGTATGCAAAGGCAGAGAAGAGAAGTAATTATATGACTGAAGCACCAATTTGCTCAAACAATTACTTTTTAGAGTTTTGGCTATGTCCAGGTATATACGAGAATTCCAAAAATTGGACAGATGGATACTAGGTTGGATTTTGTCAATTATCTAATGAACGGGGTAAAACGAACCGGGAGTAAAATTTCTCTTCCGGGAATGTGTTTCACCTGCAAAGGGTAAAAACAAGGTAGAAACTAAAATAAAGATCAACAACAACAACAATAGCATACCCAGTATAATCCCACAAGTGGGGTCTGGGGAGGGTAGTGTGTACGCAGACCTTACCCCTACTTGGCGAGGTAGAGACTGTTTCCAATAGATTCTCGGCTCAAGAAAAGGTGAAAATTGAAACTAAAATAAAGATCATTGCTAAAATTGGAAGGTGCATACGGTAGCTAGAACCATTTACATGCTGATTTGATCATGCAAATAGAATACTTCATTTGACAAGTAACCATAATCATTGAATCCTATGACATTCTAAACAAAACAGGGATGATATCATTTACGCAACTCAGAAAAGCTAATTGCAGTCTCTTGTTTTTAGTCTTCCAGAAATTGGGAAACTCGTTTCAAGAGGAACATCATTTTTATAAGCTTGAGAGAAGTTACCCCACAAATTGTGGTGATCTTTTGAAAATGGGGAATCAATACGTAGTTTCCAGATATATTCCCGAGTGCTGACGACAAATTAAACAAGGCACTGCTGCACTCCAATGAGGGTAGCCCTTTGAATACGATCAAATCATCTTTTCTCTCCAGGGAAACCTGTTCTTGCATACATAATAACCCAAAAACATATACTCCCTCAATTTCATTTATATAATGGACTTACGGTGTTTGATTAGGCACGAAAACTAAAAAAAAGGAAGATTTTTGACACATAAGTAAATATTATATTACACATATAAAAGTAACTCATCATGCCAAGTTATTCCTATAGGAGCATGACACTAAACACCAAGGACAAAATGGGGATGTTAAAATTAAACCATTTCCAAATAAAAGTGGCAAAATGGAATGTGTATTAGGAAGGAACCCTTCTTTTTGTTTTTGGAGGGGTATCTTTGTGCATTGCCGTTTACATTTATAATATCTTTACTTACCAATTCAAAAAATAAAATGAATCCTTTTGAATGAACGAAAAACGGATCAGCAGTGTCATATAATGAAGCAAAGGGAATGTCAAACTTCGTGAGAATCTCTCTCCTCTATCTCTAGTTCTCTGTAGCTCGCAAGATGTAATCAATCCACCAAATCTTAACCCAGATCTAGTGCAATTTATTCAGCAAGTTAAAATGATTCGCGATGGCAGGAGGAGGTTGAAACTTGTACTGCAAGAAGAAGAGTGGGAAGAGATGTTTGCAATTTCTCTATCCTTACCTTATCCATCCTTCCACTCCCTACAAAGTTTACTCATTTTTTGTAGAAAGCTTCACAGTTTTATCTAAACTAACGTTTGAAAATGAGAAAAAGCAAAATTGGAGAATAGAGCACAACAATCAAAGGAGTTAGCGTTATAAGCAACTGAATGCAAAATTATTGTTGCAAACTAGTGTAGGAAACCCCACCCCTCCCCACACCATTTTCTCCCAAAAAAGAATCTTTCCAAATGACATACTCTAACAGCAACTTCTTTTCCAAGTTTTTTTCTTTTGGGGCTTCGCTGGGAGAAAAAGGAGGGGGTTGTGTTATTTTCTTCCAATTTAAAAATGGACCTCTTAAGAGTATGTAGGCCAAAATTGGTGCTCATCACATTGCCTACAATTCTTGCTTGAACATAAAAATAAGAACAGAAACCTAAAGTAACATTTAGAGAGTACTATTTTAAGAAATTCTTATCTAGAGGTTTCACCTTCCCAAAACATGGAAGCACCATTCAGAATCATACTACTCTCAAAGAAAGAATACTTGACAGTAGTTCAACAAACCAAACTGAGAAGTGTCAAAGAGCAGGATAGAGTTCTTGAAATAGAAAGAGATAGTCTGCTGCTAGGTCTTGCCTAATTGCATTATTCTCAAACTTTGTTCACAAAATTCGTATGTACTCACCTCAAGAAACTGATGTCTAGAACATAAATTTTGGTGATACACCAAAATTCTGATTTGAGAATTATCCTCAGAAGCCAGAAAACCAGAAACAGGAGAAGGATGTTTTAACTGCTGACGTGTACTTCAACCAAAATTTCAAAGGAAACAGACAAATTTAATAAGAACTAATAGGATCCAGTATTTTCATGTTCACTGCTCTTTTCATTTACTGGAACAGTCAAAACGAAGGGGATTCTTGAATCAGGCAATACAAGCAAACTGAAAGCGCAAAATGCACTTCTCAGATAGCCAAATGCAGCTCAAAATGAATACCCTTCCAAATTGTTATTACACATTAACCAAAAATTACAAAATTCTCATATGCGTCAGTTTCGGGTTACAGAAGCGCAACAGGCTCGTGAAGAACAAGGCATAAAACCATTTCAGGAACATTAAATTGTATTTTTTTTCTTTGAAGTGTTTGACGTTATAAATCTAAAAGATGATTTTTCATATCGACACAGTAACACAGAAGACGCGTTATGGTAACTTTTAGCCAATTACGAATTTTTGCTCAGTGTATCTGCAAAAGAACTTCTCAACATCTCACAATTAGCCAATAAATTCGTGGTCATAAACCCCCCCCCCCCCCCACCGCCGAAAAGAAAAATTGCAATTAAATTGAGGATACTAATAAGAAGAAGAAGAAGGAATGACTCACGTATTTCCACCCTTTTCACTAACACGATTGCCAAACTGAATGTGGCGGCCAGCGAAGAGGCCACGCTGAGCCCGACCCATCACGACTTTACTCTTTGGCACGCATTTCTCGAGCTGTTGTTTAACTCCAGATGCCAAGTTCTGCTCTCCGCCTATATTCTTCACTAGCTTTTTCATTATTTCTCTTGATCTGAACGCCATTTTCTACCTTCCCCTTCACAGTTCGCTTTCGAGGTATAAATCGTTTATGATCTTCTCGCTAAATCCGAATGAAAGGGAGAATTTTTGATAGAATTGGAAATGGGGTTGTGCTTTAGGGTTTTAGAGTTGAGACCAGAAAACTCATACTAGTAGTTTAATCACAAGATTAAGGTTTGCATTTGGCCAACCTTTTAAAATTAGCTCATTTTGAATATTTTTATTTTTTTCAAAAAGTGGTTTAAAAAAATACTTTTGTTAAGAAGCAATTTATGTTTGACTAAATAATTTAAAAAATATTTTTAATCAGTAATTAGTATTTGGTCTGAGTATTTTTTTTAAAAGTGTTTTTCAAAAAAATTATCTCTTGAGAATAACCTACTTTTTTCTATTTCTCTCAAAAGCATTAAAAAAATCGTAAAATTAGCATAGACTAGTCAGTTTTCGGACTTATAATTGAAAAATAGCTAGCGTTTTTAAAATTATTAAAAAATAACCACTATTTTGCTGCAACACGGAAAGTTTCAGCATAATATACTGGAGATTGGCGCACCTGTGTATGAACTTCCAGCATATTATGCTGGAACTCCAGCACATGGAAAGTTCTAGCATAATATAATAGAGATTGGAGCACTTGTGTATGAACTTCCTGCATATAATGCTGGACCAATATATTATGCTGGACCAATATATTATGCTGGAATATTTTTCAAATTTTGAACAGTTTTCGTTTAGATTTATCTTTACATGAAAAATGGCCAAATTTCGATTACTTTTGAAACTGTGACTATTTTTCAATTACCACTTGTAAATCTGTCTATTTTTTAATTTCACCCTAAAAAATCACGTTTAGGAGAAGAATATTTATGTCATTTCATTTGAAAACGCTTAACATATAAATAAATTATTAAATTTGTTTGCAGAGTTCCACATAACCAAGATACAATATGCTACAATATGAACGGTTGTCTTTCGGTACAACATAACACATCTGACAATAACATTGTTTACCTGTAAAATGGTACAGTTGAATTTATAACGTGGTTTAAAGATAACTGAATCGATTTGATCCCAAAAATAATAAATAAATTAAAAAAATGCAAGACTTAGCGTTGAAATCGAGATAAAACAGCAGATAGCTTGGTTATAGGAGCAACACTCCTGAATGCGGTGATACAATTATTAGTAGACAAGAAATAAAGTGTTATTGAGCTTTTGAATAGTATATATCACAAGTTAGTCACAAAGTTCGCCTCCTTACAATGGTTGTTGAAATCACTATTTAAAGTTACACCTAGGGAACAAGGTCCTAGGATCAAGCCCTCTTAAATGACAGTTGTGGGGGATCATTGAAGAACGTGTAACGGCAAGCTATGAATGCCAAAATTCTCTATAACGGACTGCGTATTTAATACTGCAGAATATTCTTCATTGAATGCTATCGGGTGACAGGCATTCGTTTGTCTTTATTAGCAATATTTCCTTCGGGGGCTTCCCGGTGGCAACCGAAGCTACTGCCCACGGTCTCGGTTTCCACCTGTCTCACTTTCTGTCTGTCTCTGATTCCACTTGTCACTCCATTATACAAGTATTTAATATGAACTGATTTTACCCTATACAGATAGTCCCCCTTCTTTCCGGTGGCACATCCTTGTGTTATCGGAAAGTTGGTGAAGATACCTTTCTTGGCGGAAAATTTTCTGATCCCCTCTGAAAAGTTTCTAACGCTTGATTATATGCACGTCTCTCCGCATTTAATGCCCCGAACACGCGTCATTCCACGATTTAGCAACACTTTCGCCGGTTCTCGAGGTAATCATAGCCACGATTATACCGCATATTCCTTTACTTATACGCCTCATTCTTCTTCTTTTACACTTCATAGTTTTTCAAAACTCTCTCAACTTCTTTGCATTCAACTCTTCCTTGTTTTCACTCCTCATTAACCTTCTTCTTCGAAGAGTTCTTACTTCCTTCTACTAACCATGACCTCTTCTTTCAAGAACTTAAGCTCTTCAAAAAAATAAAGAAAGCACCGATGATACTGCCCCTCCTACGGTGAGAACCTTTATTCTCAAAAGGCTTAGTACAACCAAGGACTTTGAAGAGAAGTTTTCTTCCGCTAACTCCCGCACATGGGCCGTTGGTGTGTACCCTTCTTCGATTTGTCCTTCTAGCGTTCCTGCTGTGAAGGAAGACTGTGGTTGCCATGTTTGAACATCATCGCTCCCGATTTGGCGGAGCGAGTAACCTTCACTAAGAAGGGTTTTACGTATGTTTACACGTTCCCCTTCACTTCGGACCCATTCTCATTGAGCGGGGGACTTGACCCCGTAATCTTGGAGTTTTGCTTCCGTTATCTAGTCTGCCTGGCACAGGAGAGCCCTTCTGTGTGGTGGACAGTAGCTTGTCTTCGGCGGCTATGCCAGGAGAAAGGGGAAGAGCTTTCCCTGGCTCGAATGATAAACCTATACTCGCCCAAGATTTTTCGTGGGAAGTGATAAGCTTTAGCAAATGTGGTCACGATTCTTTTCTCACCAGCACGGATGATGACAACGACCGTGGATGGATGGAGCGGTTCGTTGTAGTTTCCACCAGGGATATTATCCCGGCTACAACTCCATCCTTCCAGGAGTCATGGACTCGTACACATAAGTTCAACGTCTGCATTTTCTCTTGTTTCATGTTGTTACTAATCCTTCTCTCTTTATTATTTCAGCAACTCGGTGGACACCACTAAAGGTTGAAGGCTTGGACCACAAGGTCCAGAAGATTTCGGGTATTACCACGCCTGAGACCCGCTGGTGGAAAGAACTGGTCCTCAAATACGGGTGGAAGGCAATCATGGTAAGTTGATTCTCGAACTAATTTGTTTTTTACCTCGCGTATAAGAAAATTAACTAACTTCTCTTTTCATTAAATTCAGGTCTTCCGCAGGGCTCTGTTACCGTCCCCGAGGAGGACGCTTTGGCTGAACCCACAGATGCGGCGAGGTTGCTGCAGGAGGCTTTCACCCGATCGAGTGCCATTGGACCTGCTTTCGGTGCAAGTGCTTCCACTCGGAGAACAAGCAACAAAAAAGGCGACGTTCTTTTACGGCCGAGGGTAAAAATAAAAGGGAGAAGAACGTCGCGCCCGAGCCAGTCGCAGCCACTGTGGTGATCGATGATGATCGGGGAGCCAGTGATGAAGGGGCTTCTCTATAAAGGAGACGACGACCTTCATTATCTCAACAGAATGCTCAATCTGAAGAGCTAATAACACCAATCGAGGATGACGTCCAAGCGCTCTGGGGAGAGTGTGATATAGTGGAAGATGCCAATTCTCTCTTGTGAACCCCAGTCGCTGCTCCCAGTATTGTGAGGCTGGGTACCGGGCCTCTTCCATCTTCGGTTGTTGAGCAACCAAAAACTGGCACTGTTTTTGCCGCTGCTTCTTCTTAACCTACAATGCCATCAGCTTCCTCTTCTTCTTCGCTATTCATGCCTTCAGCACCAGCAACTGCTACATCATTCCCACCGACCGCAGACACCCGAGAGGAGGATGTTCCCCCTCCCCAGTCCTCGGACCATGGGAATTTGGGGCATAACTATTCGCCGCCCTCCGTGGATCCTCAAAGGAGGAGACATATCTCCCTCTCAATTTCTACCGAGCGCCATCTGCTTTCCTGGCCAGTGGAACTTGCTAATTACCTGAAGCTGCTGGCTTCAGTGAAGGATAAGAACAAAATACACTATCTTTTGGGGGAGTGTATGGTAAACAACGCCATGCACAACGCAGCAGCGGTATGATATTTGATCCTTTTATTGCTTCTTCTTGTCTTGTTATTATAGGGTTTGTGATTTGAGATTTTCCTTTGCAGGCTAACTTCCTTGCTTCTGAGGGCCTTCAGAAGTTGATCCTCAATAAAGAAATGCTCACATCCGAGCGGGATCAACTGTTGGCCGAGCGAGATCAAATTGCTGCTCGCCTCCCAGCACTGGAAGCACAAGCTGCCGAAGCTGGTGCATTGGAGGCTCGGCTGCAGCAGAGTGAGAAAGAGGTGATGACCCTCAGCCAAGAGGCCGCCCTGTTAAGGGTACAATTTCAAGAGGCCAAGGCAAAGTGGTCCGAGGTCCAAAATGATGTTCTTGCTGCTGCCGAGAGCGAGGCTGCCTCTACTGAAAGACTAAAAAATTAGGAGGCAGCCTTGAACTCCAAAGCTGAGGAGAAGCGTGCCTAGATGGAAGAGAAGTATAAGAGGATCATGGAGCACAATAAAGTTTATAACTCCACTATTCATGACCTTGATGTCAGCCTTCAGGCTGCAAGATCGAGGTTGATCACTTAAGACAAAGCTTCAGCGCCGAGCAAATTCCCTCATTGTTGAAAAAACATATTCAATGTATAGCATGAGGAGAAAAATCTTGGAAGAGGCCAAAAATGGGCGTCATTGATTTTGATGCCGAGATCGCCAAGGCCAGTGAGGTGGAGTCAACTGCCCGAAGGGGCCTCCCGGTTCAGCCTGATGCAACTGACTCTTCTGGTTCTGGTTCCACATTCTCGGGAACTGAGGAGGAACTTGAAGAGGATGATGAAGAAGGCCAAGGTTCCGAGCCAGTGGCAAATCCGCCTACTTCTCCCGGGGCGCATACGCTTCTCTTCCCCCAAGTTCTGGGGACGCATTAGTTTAGTTTTTGAAAGCTTGAGTAGAAAATTATTCTTCTATTCAATAATCAAATCTGTACAAGAGTCATGAATTTATACAAAGAAGAGTTCTACAAAAGATGGTAACAATCCCTTGACTCAAGGAGATTCCAGATTTCAAGGGATTTTCTATTTAAACATTTTCCCAAAATATCTACATCTATATCTCCTAAAGATCATACAAATCTGATAAAATCAAAATCTTTTATCTTTTTCCTTTAATCTCTACACTCCCCCTCAAGTTGGTGCATATATATCAATCATGCCCAACTTGCTAACTAGAGATTCAAACTGTGGCTTGAATAGCCCCTTAGTGAGAATATCATCTATTTGTTGAGAAGTCTGAACAAACGGCATGCAGATTACTCTATCTTCAACTTTTTCTTTAATGAAATGTCTATCTATCTCAACATGTTTTGTTCTATCATGTTGTACTGGATTGTGAGCAATGCTGATTGCTGCTTTGTTGTCACAATATAGTCTCATAGGCAT